TCGTGCCACCCTTCTAATTTTTCCACCTCTTTCACTAAAATTAAAATCAATAGTAGCACCACGTGCCCGGGGACCCTGCCAGGAACACCGCCACCCTCATCAGCCACCGCGTCCCTCGAACCCTGAAAAGTGCTCGGAAATAGTGCCGATATCGATACACTTTCTCTCGACGGTCGCGTGATTTTCGCGATTCAACGCGAATCTCTTTCCGTCTCGCTTTTTCTCTCGTTGATCGCCTCTTCCTTTTTCCACCGCGCGTCGCGGCTTCTCTTTTTTCCCGCGTCCTCTTTTTTTTTTTTTTGCCACGATCGAGTTTCGTTCAAATTCGTTCGACTGGTTAGAGAGCGGTAGATTTAATCCCAGCGTCGGTCGTGGCGCGAATAACGCGAAATATTGCGTACACGCGATCGAAACGAGAACAAACCGCCACGATTCCGGTGCCACGAAACGGCCCCGGAACCACGGAAGGATAATCGGTGTGTACCTGTTGTGTTGCCGCGTAACTGCGAGTCATTCGTTAAATCGAAGCGTTTCCCCCCTGGCACACCAGTGATCCGATTTGTTAGTCAAATTATTTCTCTCGATCCGCCGAGGCTTTCCCCGGATTTCACGCTTTCGCTCTTTCTTTGGCCGCTTAATTCGTTCTCCTCTAATCTCGAATCGAGGTTTACGAACGCGGGCACGGATCGTTTAGCATCGATCGAAGCCGAACTCGTGCTTGGTCGCGAAACTTGGTCCGCCGAAACGAGCGAAACGAATCTAACCGAGGAAAGAATAATCGGAAAAAGTGGTGTCTTTAACCGGAAACGGAAATCCCCGGTCGAGGGCCTCGGGCCGCCTACCTCGGTGCGCCGGACGAGTAACAGGTAAGGTTCGATCCACGGTTAAAGCATACAGGTGGCCGAGCACGCTTTCATCATCCTTTCCACGTGCGACCGTGTGTATCCGCGTGTTTGTATGTGTGTGTGTGTGTATACGTGTACGCGTGTATGTGCGCGTGGTTGCCCGTGCTCGAGGCTCGTGTCTGCGTGGCTCACGGGCATATGTTTACCGGCACGAAGACGAACAGAGGGAGTCGTATCGGATAAGAAGCTGCGAGAGGACGTCGACGAACGATGGGGTTGCCACCCCCGATGGTTACGTATCGGAAAACCCACCCCCGGTCGACACATCCGGCGAGCAGTCTGTCCCGTTGCACCCTTCTGCGACGAACGAATCGAAGGAATTTGGCCGAAGGGGCGGAGGGGGACATCGGCTGAACGACACCCATTCCGTTCCCTCAAGATCGGCAACCTTGCGTGTCCTGTTTGTAAACAAGGGGGACAAGAGAGGGAAAGGGGTGGAAAACGACGATGCTTTCGTTCGGTTCCAATCAGGCGTCGTCTTTCCGAAGTGTGTCACGCGGCGTCGTTCGATCATCCGGTTAATTTCAAATTCGTTCGACTGGTTAGAGAGCGGTAGATTTAATCCCAGCGTCGGTCGTGGCGCGAATAACGCGAAATATTGCGTACACGCGATCGAAACGAGAACAAACCGCCACGATTCCGGTGCCACGAAACGGCCCCGGAACCACGGAAGGATAATCGGTGTGTACCTGTTGTGTTGCCGCGTAACTGCGAGTCATTCGTTAAATCGAAGCGTTTCCCCCCTGGCACACCAGTGATCCGATTTGTTAGTCAAATTATTTCTCTCGATCCGCCGAGGCTTTCCCCGGATTTCACGCTTTCGCTCTTTCTTTGGCCGCTTAATTCGTTCTCCTCTAATCTCGAATCGAGGTTTACGAACGCGGGCACGGATCGTTTAGCATCGATCGAAGCCGAACTCGTGCTTGGTCGCGAAACTTGGTCCGCCGAAACGAGCGAAACGAATCTAACCGAGGAAAGAATAATCGGAAAAAGTGGTGTCTTTAACCGGAAACGGAAATCCCCGGTCGAGGGCCTCGGGCCGCCTACCTCGGTGCGCCGGACGAGTAACAGGTAAGGTTCGATCCACGGTTAAAGCATACAGGTGGCCGAGCACGCTTTCATCATCCTTTCCACGTGCGACCGTGTGTATCCGCGTGTTTGTATGTGTGTGTGTGTGTATACGTGTACGCGTGTATGTGCGCGTGGTTGCCCGTGCTCGAGGCTCGTGTCTGCGTGGCTCACGGGCATATGTTTACCGGCACGAAGACGAACAGAGGGAGTCGTATCGGATAAGAAGCTGCGAGAGGACGTCGACGAACGATGGGGTTGCCACCCCCGATGGTTACGTATCGGAAAACCCACCCCCGGTCGACACATCCGGCGAGCAGTCTGTCCCGTTGCACCCTTCTGCGACGAACGAATCGAAGGAATTTGGCCGAAGGGGCGGAGGGGGACATCGGCTGAACGACACCCATTCCGTTCCCTCAAGATCGGCAACCTTGCGTGTCCTGTTTGTAAACAAGGGGGACAAGAGAGGGAAAGGGGTGGAAAACGACGATGCTTTCGTTCGGTTCCAATCAGGCGTCGTCTTTCCGAAGTGTGTCACGCGGCGTCGTTCGATCATCCGGTTAATTTCCAAGCAACTTCTTCGTTCGAAGGCACACCGTGCAGAATAAAAGGGTGAACCGTTTCGACGTTAAACGCGACGGATTCTAATCAACGTAATTAACCTAGCAGACGAGCCGACTGACAGCGTTCGTCAGCTCCGCCATGGTAATCGACAACGATATTGTGTTTAGCAAATAATATGTCCGTTTTGTGACCATTGTCCGGTTCTACATAATGGTTGCGCTTAATTAGCAAAACCAATTAAAATAATTAACGTAAACTCTAATTTCGCGTCACGTATAAATTGGCCAGTCGCTGATGCATTAAAACGGTTACGAAGGCTACGTACATCGGGAATCGCGACATCGATATTATTGAAAATAAATATTCCTCTCCGCCAATTTGTTCGCGTTTATCCGTATACCGCGCGGAGAGCAACCTCCGTCGTGTTGGTTTTTTTTTTGTTTTTATTTCATTTTTGTTTCATTTTATCTCCTCTTTTTTTTCACTTTTTTCCAGCTCTATGTTTTAATAATCCCCCGATACTTTCACTGTCGTGCATCGATCAAAATTCAGCTGACCGGATTAATCGATTTGAACGGCGTGACTCTCGCCCCAATTTGTATACGGTTCGAATCGAACCCGAACCCAGTTCCGATGGAAAACGTCGACGCTACGTCGTTTGTTCTCGTTTCGCTGATGGGCACGCTGGCCGTCTGGCACGAAAAAGGGGGATGACGGTGACGGTGCGTCGTCGACGGACAAAAACGACGATTAACGACGAAGCGTCCCGCGGCATCGAGACGCTTCCAAAGCGTCGACGAGAACGGATCGCGTTGTCAAAAGGCATTCTCGCGGCAAGCGCATCGCGTCGTTCTCGTTACGAGGCTGAGCAACGGCGGTAACCGGTGATCGTACTTTTCACCCGGTTGAATCGTTCTTCCGTCACCCTCGTGGCCACCTCTTGCCACCACCCACGCAGCCTATCCTATCCTTTTATGACACCCCGTTTGCTCCTCCGCCGATTCCCGTGTGGCAGCGCCACCGACCTTTTCCTCTTCCTCTACCTCTTCCTCTTCCACTTCCTCTTTCCCTTTTTCTTTCTCTCTTTCTCTCTTCTCCTGTATTCCGGGATGCGAGCGTGCCGCCCCCACCAGAGCACTCCCCACAATGCGATGGTGGTATTGATTTAAAAGTACATTCGTGTTTTCATAATGCCGTATCTGTACCGACGCTCGAGCGCACCCTCCTCTGTCCCGCGTCACCCCTGTTTCTCTTCTTTCTTTTTCTCTATCCGCCTCGACGATCCTCCCCCTTCTTTCTCTCTTTCCCGCTCACCCTTAACCTCCTGTTTAGCCTCGCTCTCTTGTCACCCACGCGTAGGTATGACGCTACCGCCCTTTACCACCCCTTTTTTCCATCTTCTATTCTCTCTATCTCCGCGTATCTTTCTCTCCGCATTCCTCTTTCTACGCGTTCGTTCTCCGTTCTCCCGTTCCCCCGGCCAAGCTTCCACCGGCGTCGATTCGCGGAAGGACGACACGAGTGGCGCGATTAAATCCGCGTTAATCGCCGCGCCCGATAATTCGATTCCACGGGTAAAAATAATTGGCCAAGAGCGCGGGTGGGCAGTCCCGTTTCCCTCGATTCGTGGCCAGCTAGCGTGTCAGCGTTCGCGAATGGTGGGACGTCGATGCGAAAGTTCGACGATCGAGCGGATCGTCCCCGTTGCTCGTTCGCGGGCCGATTTTTTCCTCGAGCACACGCCCGTTTAGGCGACGCGACGCTAAGCGACGCGAGAGATCGACCACGAGAAACGGAAGCCGAACGCGCTCCACGCTTCTGCCGCGGAGCGTGCCGCTGCCTCTCGAGAAGCCACCTTAGCGAAAACGAAATTGCAAAGAGGCAAGGAAATTAGCGCGAGGGCTCTGGCCGGGTTACAATAAAACCGCTGAGAACTCTTGTAGATAGAGGTACAGGGTTTTTGAGAGCTTAACAACGGGCCCTCTCGTTCTCTCTGTCCGGAGCACCTGCTCCGTTTTTGCAATCGTTTTTAATATACAGTAATTACGGTGGTGCACGCGCTTACTCGAATGGCCTGTGCGTGCCTGCGACTACGAGCCACTCGCGTTCACCGTCGTTTCGCATCTTTTGCCAGCTAATTGGCTTCGGTTTGGAAAAACGTCGATGAACCGTCCGATATATTCTGGATGTCCTTTCAATTCGTCGTTCGACGCGATTGCTCGTTCTTTGTCACGATAGAGTTACTGTCACGCATCGATACGCGATGACTTCTCCGTCAGATTTCGAATTTCGAGTCGACGCGACGAACGAGTTGCCTGGAAGAGAGGCAGAAATTCTATTTTCAAAAAGGTTCGTCGATCGACCGCGAAAATACGGAGCCGTTATTTCGCGACTCCACCCACGCGCGATCGTCAAGGGTTGTCGGCAGTCGGGCATTGGTGAATCTCAAATAGCGGAAAAATGGTGGGGACGTATTAGCGGTTTTTACTATTGATTACCGAATTAAAAACGCGCATGTATAATTCGGTGATATTTCGCGTGTCTCCGGATTCGCCGTTGGCGTCGCCAGTTTCGATCCCTCCGTGTTTCACCCCCTGCGACGTTTTATCAGTCGAGTCGTACGTCATCGATCCTCTGCTCCTCGTTTCCAGATGGCGTGCGATATCGAGGGTGAATGTCGCGGTTCAACCCCGTTGACGCGAATCTACCGGTTCGATCGATGGTCTCGCGCTATCGGGGGTGTGCACCCTCTGCGACGTTATCGAATCGCTTTACCGACGCGACCTTATCTTCCGTAGCTAACCGTACCGCCAACGAATAATCGAGAGAGTATTCCGGTTCGACGACGAAAGCGGGTAATCGAGATTAATTACGTAAACTCGAGACGACTCAGAGATCGTGTCCAATGGTTTATTTTGCAAAATAAATTGACATATACAACATGGTACTTTAGCGAAAATGAATGTCTACACGTTCGTTCTAGAACGACTTGCACGTGTCGACTCCAGCGTACAACTATGCAGCACGATGGACAAAGATACTTTCGGACTTTGATTCGTTTCGACCCGCTCCGATCTCCCGCCTGGTGACAGGAGAGAGCGAGAGGACAAACTGAAGGGAGGGCCGTGCAGAAACTTAGCCGAACGAGTGAAAACGTAATCCGTGATCGAAAGCGCGATATCGTTCAAGCCCAAGTTTAACCGACGCTGCTCTCTGTCCGTCGTTCGCTTAAATTACTACGATTCGATTTCTTTTTAATTGATCATATGGAACGGTTGTGTACCGGGATCACGGAGATCCGCGTCTCGCTTAATCGTTAATCGAGTCTTACTTCGACGAGTCTCTACGAGTAATTATCTCTAAAGTGTCCTTACGAGTTGGCGATGCGCGATGCGATAGAATATCAGAGCGTTTACGTGAAAGAAAGTTGAATGCTTTTTTTCCCTTACAAAGCGTGACTCGGCCTCGCGCCGATCTCGAGCATCTCCGCGACGAAAAGGGTGCTACTCGTAACGCGTTACACGTTACGCGAGCCGTGTGTTCCAGGGTGCTCGAGATCGACTCGAAGACGACCTAAATAGTCGTCGATCGATCGACAGCTACCCGACCAGCTACTTTTCTCAGAATATTTCTAGAAATACGCGAGACGTTCAGGTCGTATAGAAAATTTATACCTGTCCACAGTTAGACCTCTAATACCACCTAGTAACAGCCACACGAGAATCGCTAAACCTGAAAACTAGATTTTACTCGTTAGCAATGTAAAAGCGGGAGGAGATACTCGAGCGTCGAGGAGAGATACGCGCGAGTCGGTAAATGAATCGAGTCTGTTCTTTTCTTTTCTCGTTTTTTTAAGGGATCGAGATTACGGCTAAAAGATTCTTACGTACAGGATGTACTTAGTCTCTAGATGCGCTATAATCTATCTTACATAGACGGTGAATATTTTTCGATGAGTGTGTGTGTGTGTGTGTACGTGTGATCGCTGTAGTCGGATCGACAATAGCTGTACACGAAATGCGGAATTGTATCTCGGTACTTTTAAGAGTCTCGGTTGCTTACGAGCGACACCGTTCTAACGAACAGCTATTAAAATGGATGATTTTGAACCTCGACTATCGTGATGCGTAAAAAGTCTGTCGTGTTGTTCCCAGTTATAAGACTTGATAAGAGGAATTTTTCATGAAGTTTCACGAAGGTTTTCGGTCGGAAAGATGATACAGCATTGCCCGCAACAACCCAAAGACTCGTCTCTAAAGTACAATCGGGAGGACGTTGATTCTCAGTGAATTTGTTGGCGCGTGAGAGCCAAATGAGGCGCGACGAACGAAGAAACGAGAACGTGGAAGCTAAAAACAGCTCCTCGTCTCGCGGATTCATACGCGATAGCACCATATCAACAACAAACGTTCGCACTATTCAACGGAAGCGTATAAAATCTGAAATATTGATAACGCAGCATCTGGCACGAAACGTACACGTAATACGTGTAAGATCGTCGAGTAATAGTTGTTCGGCAATACGTTCGTCGAGTTGCTCTCGAGAAACCTTAAGGAACTATTTTGGCACTAGAATCCACGTTAACGTTAAACTTTAAGCCTCTGTTGTTCGACTTCTTCGAGTCGCGAACCTCGTGCTTAACGTATCCTTTACTCGATACCGTAAATACCTAGAATCGTTTGGTGGTTCCGATTGATCTCGAAATCTTGGATCGAGCCGAAAGAGGCCAAAAGCGTTCTGTCGATGTTTCACGGATCTGTCTGGCGAAATCGTCGACAAAATGCCGTTGGGTGTCGCGCGAATTCGATGATTCGCGCTCGAAATCTTACGTTCTACCGATCTGGACACTTAATAGCGTTCCAATTATGACGCTTAATTATCTATCTCGTACCTACGTGTTCGGACAATAGAAAATTCTTAGTAAATCTGGTTCGTCGTTTAGTAAAACTGCCATTAGTCGTATGGAACCTGTTGCTACGATTCCTAGAACCATTTACAAAATTCGACGTACGTATACTCGTGTCGCGACACGGCTCCTTTCAACGTACGCGCACGCTTATAAAAGATTACGAATCCGCTCGAAGACTCTGTCGATCGGTCCCTTTAAACGCGTGTTACTCGCAAAACGTTCTGCGAAACGCGAACGATATCAGCCTCGAAAGCTACGTGGACGCGGCGAATTTTCCTTCGCGTAACTCCCGGCGAGGAGAAAACCCAGCGCGATCGGGGAAGGAGACGGCGGAAAAGTGGGAAGAAGGAAAACAATGCGCGTTCTATATTTCTCTCTCTGCGGAACAAACTTTGCCAGTTTAGTCTCCAAATGCGTACTCGTGTGTTTTACGATCTGGACGGCTTTTCAAAAATGTTTTCGAGTTTCTCAGGAGGAACGGCGTAAGAATAGAAAAATCGTATCGGTACGGTTAATTCAACGTGTTCGAGCAAAATACAGTTCGGTCGTATTCCGAAGGGATTTTCTCCCATTGTTCGGCTATTAATTCCTTGAATTTTGAACGCGTCCACGATCACAGGCCCTCTCGACAAATAATTCCAGGCAACGCTCGATTCGAGTGCTCGTCACAAACAATTGCGGTGTTCTGTTGGTGCGGTTACGGTTGCTCGACGCATAGCGGCACCGCGTCGAGTTCGTTAGCCGGCGATTGTTCTGCGCGGTTCGTAATTCGTAGATCCTCGCTCCGGCAAATTTAGCGGTGGAACGAGAAGGACCGGGAAGAACGGATACCGAAGGAGACTCGCGTAGGAGAAGGAAGAGGCAAGCAAGGGATCTTAAGGGTCGAGAGTATGGTAAATCATTAGGATACATAGTCAATTCCGTGCATTATGCGTCCTTCGTCGGTAGCCAACTATGTAACACGATTTCCTCCGAATACGAGCATTATCTTTGGTCGATAGAAGCTTCTGCCACTCGCATCGATCCGCCGTGATTTTCTCCCTCGATGATTTTATCGCGCGTAAACTCGAACGATCTCTTTTTCGTCGGCAGTCCTGTTCCGAGTTCTTCGAGCGAGACCGCTATGATTAACGCAGGATGGAACTGTGTTTCTGGTATCGCCAAAGTTCCTGGGAAAGCTTTGAAATTTCCGGGAGTTTCAGGGAACGCTTCAGGAAGATGGAGTCGGTCGTTAGCGTCGATGAGATATCTACAATGAGTTTGGAGTTTCTGGTGAAATAAAAACCGTTAGTGGCGAACATGAAAACCGGTGGTCGTTTTTGTTTTGATTTGGCTCCCGAATGAATATTCGAAGGAGGGACGTTCCATCTTTGAACTTTCGAGTTTTCGTAGCAAAATCACCGCGACAGTGGACCGTGTCTATCCGAAATCCACGCAAAAACGTCTCTGCCCGCCGAATACGATCGTTCGACGTCGCAATCTGACCCGAGACGAATCACGAAGGATAAACGAGTCGTCCCCATTAACTCTCCTTCTCCTCGATGGGACTCACTTCGTTCTGAAGCAGCTCGAACTTTGTGCTCAATCCCGGGAGGATGCTTTTAGTGCTGGTTTTAATTTGACTGTAGATATCCAACGACTTCTTTCGATCCAGCTCGAGGGTCTCCTCGATCAATCGCGGTGGAATGCTACCGGAACGCTTGTGACTCGGCACAAAGGTGCTGCCTTCCGGTTTCTGGTCCTTTGGCCTGTCTTCTTTGTGTTCCGGGGTTAGGGTCCCGTTGCCCAGTTTCCGTTGCTGTTCTTGAAAAGTGTCCTCTTGAACGTCGTCTTTCAACAACGCCCCGGTGATCATCGGCTTGTTCGTTTCCGTTTTGCCGAAATCGTTGCTCAGCGCCTTCTGTTCCATGATTTCCAGCTTGTTCGGAGTGGCGCCGTTCACCTGGAGATTGGGGTTCGAGCGCACCGTGTCCGTCGATATACTGGCATCCGTCGAATCCTGCTGGTCCATCGATCCTCCGGACCCCTGCGAAACGTCCAGGTTGTTCTGTTTCGCTTGCATGGACGGCTGAACAACAGAAGATCGTAGATATGAAGTGCATTTCGATAGTTCGTCGTTCGAAGTTCAGAGAAGTTACTCACGCTTTCCTCGGTGTCCTTCTCGATGCTCGACGTATTGGACACGTTCAGCAACGTCTTCTCGGTATCCGGAGACTTGTCGAATTCTACCCATTTGGATCCTCCCTCGAGTTTCCGGGACAAGGTATCGGAGTCGTAACTACCACCGTACATCGGATAACCCAGATGGCCCGCATCGTACTCCACTTGATTTCCATAACGATAGCTGGGATTAACCGAGCCTTGGCTAGAGATCGAGAGATCCGATTGGGATAGACCAGTGTTCGTGCTGCCGAATAGCTTCGCTTTCTCGAAACCTACGTCAGAGTAGAGCACGATTTTCCTTGAAAATTGGATCTTCGTTTTAAGCGGAATAGGTGAAATCTCGAATACGAACCTGGCGATCGATCCTCCGGAATCTCTTCTCTGTGAACGAGAGCTTGTTGATCGGTCACGGCGGCAGTTACGTCGTCGGAGGATCCTCCTTTATTGGCCTCGGCCTCGTTGCTCTGATAGCTAGGTTGCACCTCTACCACGAACGAGCACCCGTTGTCTTGGTACCTACGATTTTTATTATCCTCCATCGTCACCTGCAACACGAAACGAACTTCGTTACCCTCTCCTCGAGACTCTTTATTTTTTTATTAACCTACGCGTACCCCATTACCCCGACGGTAAAACGCGTTTATCGCTCGCGCGTAAAAAATCTCCGCAGAACGAATTAATCATCGCTGGACCAGCGGCACGAAGCGATGGAAATCGATTGTTTGACGATTGCAACGAGAGCACTTCTCGTAGTTATAAACTGAATGCACTTCCCACCGTTTCGCTTCGTCGATTTATTTCACGAATATCAAAATTTTCGTTCAGAATATTGCGATACTAATTCAACGTCCGCAACGTGAGGAACACGGAGGTCGCAGGGTTCGTAACTCAAGTATCGAAACTGGCAAATTAATTTTCGCTATGTGGATTTGCTAGGCAATGTTTCTAGTTTCGAGCCTGTCGTAGCCGCGGGCCGTGTATAAATGCAACTGGAAGTTAGTCGACTCGACCGCGGAATTAGTTTCTCGCTATTGTTCGTTCCGTTGCAATTCCGACGTGTTTCTCGCAAACTGGACCTCGACGAGCAACATTTTCCTGCGGGGCACGTCACTCACGCGATCCACGGTATCGAGAACGTCGAAGAGGAAACGTATCCACGAAACTACACGACGGCTGAAAACTCGACCTGCCTCCTGTCGGTTGCCAAACGGTCGTAAACAAAAGTATCGTGTCGCTGGAACGACGTACCTTTTATGATTCATAAATCGTACTGGAACGAACCGCCACTCTCGCGAGCTTTATTTCTATTTCAGCTATATCCCCGACCGTTCCATCGACGCTGGATCGATAAGCATCTCGACAGGAACGTGTGCCGCATCCTTTGACACCCTTAATTCCGCGAATTTTTACAGAAAAATGACGATTACGTTTTGCGAAACGTCGTGTAAAAATGAATTGGTTTTTTAAGCGAATAGAACATATCGTGCGTTGATTTCCATTGATCGGATATTTCTACCGATATCACGGGCTTTTCAAAGGAATAGCAGTTTCAGTGATCCGTAAAGACCTTTTAGCGACGAATCGCGCCGCGCTTGCCTCGGGGTCGTTCTTCGAGAAACTTCCCCGAGTGCTCGCGGTTAGTAATTCAACGAGGGGAAACGGAATCAGTCGAACCGATAGCGCCTTTGTCGTGCCACCGAATCTGAAGGGATAAAAAAGCGTCACCCTGCCTTAAAGAGAAATGGAAAAAGAAGCAAAGTGGCTTCTATTTCACGATTTCTCGTCGAAAGTGACTCCCGGAGGCGTCGTAGCAGCGAACCGCGAGACTCCCAGTTTTTCACGACCCTTATCGAAGAGTCCGCTCACTTTTCGAGATCTTCAGCCTTCGACGTATCGAACCGTAGAATCGTCCGCTGGAGACGCCTCGAAGAACCCTGATGACGCGTGACACGAGAAACCGTAAGAATATACCGAGTGAGAAAATAAGAAGGAACGTATCCCGAGGGGATTGTTGGAGGGTGTCTGACCGGAGCGAAATTGGACGGTGACTCCATTCGTTCCACTTTGAAAGTCTAGCTCGAAATCTCGACTAGAAGGAAGTTGTAGTAACCTGGACCATTTTCGAAAAGCCAAGTCTTGGGAAACAGCCATAATTCAGAGACTCGCTTCCGCTTTCGAGTGGCTCACGAACACCGGCGAAAGGGAAGTAAGTTGGTTCGCGTCGCGCTTCTGAACCTCCACTTCCTGCGCCTTTACCTGACACGCGATTATTAAAGATCGCACTTTATAGTCTACCGACGAGCTGCACGAAATTGCTGTTTATTCGGAAAGTGGACGGAGAACACGGGCCACAAATTGAATGCAAATACCTTGGCGGAAATTCGGCGAAGAAGCAGGGCGATAACTAGATGGAGCAGATTAAACGCAAATACGAACGTGTGTACAGGATCCCTCAAAAAGTAGTATAACCAAAATGGATATGATTACATAGGAAAAAAGTAGGTCCTTTTTGCGACAAACAGAGATAACGATAACATAAAAGTTTATTTTACGTATTTAACCCGCGGTGTCGCTTGGAGCGGAACCATCCCTTTTCGGTTTTGGGATACCGATTTTGAGAGATCCTGTGCCTCGATCTACGGTTTAATAGTATTACGACGTTACACGTATAAATATGTTTGCTTATCGAGATCATAAGGGGGACGGTTCGTCGAGAATTTAATCTTCCACGTAATAAATTAATCGATGCATAATAGGGTGCGAGATTACCGATCACGCGTTACTGATCCCGGATGCTCTACTAAACGGTTGACGCGCAGTTCGTGCCCCCTTCTAGCCGCTATTTATACCGGTTACTAGTTAATAACCTTCTATAACCCAAATGATTTCTTTTGTTCTTGGAATGCTGTGAGCGACAGTCGTTGAATGCAACCGGAAATTAATTATAGGAAATAATTGAAACTCGGTTAGGAAATTGAGAGGAATCGCGATGGAATTTGAACGTTGTTCGCGAACTTTGCATCGATGAGTTTAATTAAAAAAATTCAATAACCAGCTCAAATGAAACGTTTCAGATATCTGATAACCGTATGCTCTGAAATGTTTTTCAACTTCGATTACAATCGTACTCGCACGAAAATTACGTTCGACTTTGCGAGTGTACCAGGTATTTGCACTAAACGACGGTTAATTCGCGTATCTCGATGGCAGGAGTGCATTTTCAGCTTTTACTCGTTTCGGAAGAACGGAGTCAGTTACGCGAAAAATCGACCCAGATCTAGAAGCAGAATTTCGAAGAAGGACAGATCCGTGAGTTCCTACTGTTTTCCGTGATCGGATAAAGTTTTCCGAAGAACGAAAAATATCAGCGTTCCGAAGGGCCAATTTCTCCCTTTGATTCGATTCAGCGGGAAGCAACGGATACGATAGATCCGAGTCTTGGATAGTGTTCGAGGAAGCAACGCTTCATTCGAAAGAAGCACTCCTAGTCTGAATGGTGTGAGTGTTTCTCGAATTCTGAGGGTATTCCACGCGACCAAGGGTGAATACCGTGTCTTGGCGTCGAGCCAAGTATTACGTCGATGCATCCCGGGCATCCACCCCTTAAGACCGCTTTCGTTCCTTGTTCCTTTTTTGTATTTGTCTTCTCGCTATCGTGCGATTTTCGCATTCCTCCGAGGAGGAAGCATCGTAAAACGCTTGCACTCTAAACACGAGACACAACAGATTTGTTTATTTTTAATCCGCTTACCTTTCCTCTCGAATACTTCGGAAACTGAGTCGATACAAGACGAGGTATCGCTAAAAGCATATTTTTTTTATTGAAATAGCTCTCCAACGAAAAATGATCGAATCATCATCCGGGAGAAAACCATCCTCTTCTTATCGCCGGACCGCATCGGTTTATCGCCGCGGAAACATGGACATCCAACCCCTGTGTAAGTGCCTCGAGTCCCGGCAACTTTGTTCCGTTTATCTGTCGATTAACGGACTTGCTTACTCCTCGTACTGAAGCTGCGCGAAGACTTACCTCGGATTTAGGGACTCGTTCTGGGATCCACGCCCTTTCGCTGTTCGATCGTGGCTCTTGGTTTAGAGTGTGCGTGGCTCAATCGTGTACTCGTATCAGTCGGGGATAAAAAGAAGAAGGGAGGAAATTTCGGTCGAAGGTCCACGAACGACGTTGGACATTCGACTTGATCCACGAGGGACTTTTTTACCCGTTAGTTGTCGCTCTGTTTACGCGGCTGAGTACATAGAAGCCGTGAGAAGAGGATTACTCTAACGAAATTTATCGAAGCTGGACAACTTCCACGGATTTAGCTGTATTTTCTGGGAACTCACCGAGAAATTACTAATTCTAAGAGTATTAGTTCGCTTCCACGCGATTAAGAGTACTTTTGACGCTCTCGTACAGTTGCTTTTAATAAACATCCACTTTCAGGCAAGTCGTATTTACTTTCAAAGCGTCCCCTGAATGAAATTTCTCCGTAATCCGGACAGGAGGAGAGGAAGTAACGCAGCGAGTTTCGAGAATCCCCGGCACGATGAGTTTCCATGGATAAGCCTGAGCCCGTAAGTAGGACGATAGGCGGAGGCGAAATTGCCTGGTAACCTTCGACCTTACAGGGCCGTGCGAGTCCTGATAATTGCGAACCTGTTATCCCTGTCAAAGGGGAGCCAGTGGCTGACCCAGCTGCACGAATCTCCGACCGGTGAATCGATTCCACGGATGCCCTTGTCGGCTCGCTCGAACAAAAGAAGGTATTAATCTCGCGCGTCCCTCGCCTAGTTCCTTTTCACCGTGAACACGCGATGGAAAACCATGGACGGGAATGAAAAAGAGCGTATCGTGTTAGCTATCGTTTATCGTTCGAACTCGACGGACAATCGATAACGACCACCATAACCCCGAGAGCAAAATGTCGAATACCATATTTAGGAGGTGGTGGACGTGATAGAAGTAATGTCTTTATTTTTAAGGTGTTTAACGCCAATTGTCTGTTTCAAACTGTTCGCACCCTTGACGTTTTTTCAAATGCACCCGAGATCCCTTAGTGGAGGTGACTCCCAAACAAAAAATTTAGCAATGCAGCGAGATTTCTCAGTGACCGCTTACCTCTCCCCTGCACGGTCAGAGACCGTCAGGCCCAGAAAGAAAGAAAATCTAACAGTATCCTCAAAAATGGCTTTTTTAACCCTATACGTCGTAAACATCCGCTACACAATAATTACGAAATTCATAACAACGAAGTAATTAAAATAAGAGCCTACAGGGTAAGGTGGGAAGTCTCCGATAGCATGGAATCTCGCGCGTAGCGATCAGGTTAATTGGTTACAAGCAGTAGCTATCGGCTCGTTTTCTCCACCCGATTTGTCGATTCGTCGACCTTACCGCACCTGTTGCACCCTTATTGTACCTGGGATGCCGATTATTCCGTGGCGCGACTTACACGAGTTCCACGACGCGACGCAACCGGTAGAGGAGTCAGGAACCTTTGTTTCGTCGTATCTCGGTGGGTCGAGGGTTCTGGGACACCTGCTTGGGGTAACACCGATCGATGTTCGGCTAAACTCTCCCCTTCCTTTCGAGACCAGCTTGAATTTCCACCGGTTTGAACAATCGATTTTCCGAAATTAACGGCGACTCCCTTTTTTCCAAAGCTAATTAACAGTTCTTTTCGCCCGTACTTTTTCGACCAGCCTCGTTTTTCGAGCGAATTAACCGACATCTCGGTTATTACACGCCGCGCTACGAAATGTTTTCACCAGTTTTCCCCGCCCATTCCCGGCTCAATTCGCGTAGCACGCGAACCACTAATGAAGCCGCCGTCCAATTATCGGCGAATTCCATTTAATTGAACTCACGGAAGAAACCCTTTGTCCATCAACAAAATCCGGTCCTCGCTCTCTCGAGCGTAAAAATAGTTCACGTCCGAATCGAACGTCGAATCGATCTACGAGAATGTCCTCCGTGGTTTTTTTCACGGATTCGTGACCCAGGGTCCTTTCGATGCTAATGTACTCACTGCTCGTTCTTCGGTTTCTACGATAAGATGGTTGTTCTTCAGGGTGAGCGTGATGATGTTCCCGTTGGAGTTTTTATTGGTATGATTCCCTGGAGGCGTGTACTCCGCCGAAGTCGCGGTGGCTACGTTTACCTCTTCCATGACCTCGGTCTCGCAAATGTACCTGGGTCCATCGAGGCCGTTCACCAGCTGAAAACAGAAAGAAACGTGGAGTCGATGTATCTTTAGATTCCGTCGATTAATCGGATCGGACGTTAAAATCGTGCAAAGTTATTTTAAAAAAAGATAACGTTTCTTCGGTCCAAAGACGAAACGTATCGAATCGGAGAACCGGTCATCCACACCTTGAACGGACACGTAATCGCGTGGGCAGGCTGTTACGAAGTTGCAAGGTTCAGCATCTGACAGTTTTTTCGTCGAGCATCGGCCACGATTAAAACTTTTTAGCCTGCGAATTTACAACGGCACGAGAATTCCGAGTAATTCAACGGAATTCGCGGTAGATTTATGAGCTGGCTCGCGCGGATAAACGC